ATGTTTATACTAAAACCTGGAATGACATTCCTCAAAAAATAAAGTCCATTTAAAAACTACAGCCCTTTAAGAAGAATTTTGTCTGCCATCTGCTGCTTGTTGTGCTCATATTTAAGATGTCCTATTTTGCAAATGCTGCCTTCCTGAAATTTGGTATGGTTTTTTGTCTTTGTGTCTATGGTGTTTAATAATGTGATTGTGATGCTGTATTTCTGAGTGTTTTATGTGCTGCAGAACAGGAACCTGCTGTAAAACAGCAATTATGCTGAGTCAGGCTTGATTTTTAGTGATCTTTTCCTGTTAAATCAAATCAAATCAAATCAAACCTTTTCAATGTTCCGCTGGATGACAGGGTCGACAGGCAGCTCTGGGACCTGCAGGGACATCAGGCATCTGACCATACTGTACATCATCATGTAAAGTGTGCTGTTAAGTCGACGTAGGCCAGGGCCATCATGGAAAATTGACCATGTGGTCAGCTTTCCTGCCAGGAAGTATTTATTTTTTCCCAGTGCCTCCCTGTCATAAGCAAAAAACAGGTTTCCCAGCCGACCTTCAAACACTCTGAGTGAGGAGTGAACTTCCATCATCAGAAGCCTGGAAACAAAAGACCATAAATAATGATCATTAATATAGCAGTTTGTTATGATGCAAATGAGAATGAAAATTTTTATATCTAAGAAATACCCTTTTAGGACCCCCATAATCGTCAGTCATCTCTCTGACAAACTCAACTTGTGGAATCTTCTTCCAGCTGAAGCTGTGCATGGACAGAGCCATGGCCATGCTTTGAAGCATCACTTGCAGTCAGCAACATTTTGGAAACTCTTCATCATGAAAACAAAGAGGAGGACAAGGTGCCAAACTGTTGTCTTAACTGCACAAGAAAAAAAATAACAGTTTCTGGTATGACAATATAAATGAAAAGCTGTTGCACAAAAACACTAACAAACCTGAGGAACAGTGACTGGAGAGTCTTGTTGAATTTCATAATCTGTGTCGTCTTCTTCCCACTCCATGACAATGTCACTATAACACAAACAATTGTGTCCTTTAGGCCAAGTCTGTAGTACAGTCCTTCACCACATGACCTAAAACACTAAGTTATGATCAATTACTACAATCAGAATCAGAGGTTTGTAGTAACTAATTACATTTACTTTGTTACAGTACTTAAGTCGTTTTTTATTTGAGGATTTGTAATTTTACCCATTATTTTTTAAACAGCTACTTTTACTTTTATTTTGTTACATTTTAAAGCTATAAATGATACTTTTACTTCTTTAGTTTAATTTTGTAACGAGTAACTAGGTGTTACATTTTAAATATGTTTGAACTCATGAAAGAAAATGTTTATGCACTCTAAAAAAATGAAGTGTTGAATTTAATCATCAAAGTCACGTCATCTGGCTCTGCTAAGCCTAGTTGAGTAAATTGTGCAAAGAATATACATATATTGCTCAATTTACTCAACCTGACTTAGAGGAACCAGTTTGGTTCAGTAAATTCAACAGTTTATTTCTTAGAGAGTGTGTAAAAGTACTTTTACTTTCCCAAGTTTTGTGAACAGTTTTATGACTTTTACTTGAGTAAATTTCTCATCAGTGAAATTCATATTTACCAAAGTAATTTTCATTTTTTTTCAAGTACTTTATAGACCTCTGACAGTTATGAGGGAGCTGGTCTGGTCCAGCTGAACTGGGTTTCCTATAGATCCATCCTCCACTGTTTGAGTGAAGATCAGAACAGAGTCCCACATCGAAAAGAGTCAGCTGAGG